AACCAGGCGGTGACGGACAGTGGTTCATGGATCCCTGCATTGCTGTTTAACGGTCTCACTCTGTGACCTTAGAGAAACTCCGTAACCTCTCCGGGACTCCATTTCCGGGCACTGTCAATGCAGATGGTAACAGTTGTCTTTCTCTAGGACCGGTGTGAGGTTATAAATAAAGTGCTTAAAAACACTGCCAGGCATGGAGTAAGGGCCACATAGTGTTAGCTACTAGCAGTACTATCCCCAATACAGGGCTATGAGAATACCTAGAGATGATCCCATTTACATAAAATTAAATCAACAAGCCACAACCACATATCTATCTACCCATCTCTTCCTCCTTCTCCCTCCCTCATCTCTTTGTCTGTCTCTCTTACACACACACACACACACACACACACACACACACGAGTTTCTTTCTAGAGAAGAGCAAAGGCAGAATGGGCAATGGGTATGAAAGAGAATTTTGACTCCTAAGCCTATCCTTCAGAACTGCCTGGATCTTTTAGAACTGGAATCATCTCCACCGGATCTCTCCAAGTTCTTACCTCTTACTCAGTCCTATCTCTACACCAATTGCATTCCACTCATGGCTCGTCTCCAAAATTACTCCCCTCTAGTCATTAGCAGCCTCTTGGTCAACTCAAAGCATATTTTTCAATTCTTATTTTACTTCACCTCTTAGCATCTTTCAACGCTATTGATACCACTCTTTTAAAAATGGCTTCCAGGAAACCTCAGCCTCCTACATATTCTGAAACCCCTCTCCCCACTCCTCAGTCTCTTCAACCATCTCACGGCCTGCCACTGGGCCTTCAGTGTTGAAGGCTGATCCTGGGCCCTTTCTCCTCTCACCTGATTCAACTTCTCGGCAACCTCGTCAGTGCCCAGGGCTCCAGCTACCGTGTCTAGGAACGTTCCTCTCCCATTTACACTCCAGATCCTTCCTTTGAGCAGCTGACAACATCAACTGCCCATTTGACATAGTCACTTGATACACTAAATGTTCCATGTCCAAGATCTGGTCTTTGGTTTCCATCATCCCCTATCTCACATGTGTCAAACACAAGGCCCGCGGGCCAAATCCGTCCCGCCAGGCCTTGCAATGTGGCCCGCACCGCGCTGTCATCACTGCACTCCGCTGCGTTTCCATCACAATGACAGTTTATGACTGTTCAGTAAACCATTCGGCCCGTGATTTAGGCTGGATTTTAGATTTTGGCCCCTTCTCTGATTGAGTTTGACACCCCTACCCTATCTCATGCACCCAGTTTGGAAGCCACTTACTTTGGGCTCCTCTTGACAAATCCCTCTCCCACTAGGCCCCCAAATCCAATCCTACAATAGCTAGTTACTGCATCTCCCTCGCATCCGCCTCCTTCCCTCCTCCATCTCTCCTGATGACTTCTTCAGCTTACACGCTCACTCACCTAGGAAACTGCAATCATCTCCTAACTGGCTTCCAGATTTTACTCTTGTCTTCCTCTCACAGGTTCTTAACCCAGGTCCATGGACTCCCTCCCAAGGAGTCTGGGATAGAATTCATGTGGCCCGTGAACTCAGATGGGAGAAAAAGAAATCACAGCTTTATTTTTATTCATCTCAAACTGAATTGTTCCATTTCACTCAATCATGAATGTCAGCAACAAACCACAGTAGTATAAGGAGAATACTAGTATTCCAAACACTGTTGTGATTTTACCACCAACAGATGTGTTCATATCACATGACAGTTGTTATATACCTTGTTTACTGTCATCCCTACTTTGAAATTACTGTAGCTATCAGACTGCCCACTGATTCTTACTTATTGTGCTAATAAAGAAGCACATAAAGTACTATATCTTATGTGTGTGTTTAATATTTTGACAACTACATTTAAATGTAATTGGTCTCCTTTGTAATCCTATATGTCTTATTTTAAAGATTTTTAAACATTATTCTTAGAAGGTATCCCTAAGCTTTATTAGATACCCAAAGAGGTCAAGGATGAAATAAAGCTCACGAACTCCCACCAGCTGATTTTTTCACTCTACAGTCCCAATTATTTTCTTAAAACACAAGTCTCATGTCACCCTCATACGCCTTTCCACTGTCTTGCTAATGAAGACCAAAGTACTCAACAATCTGGACCTGCTCACACCTCTGGCTTCACCTGGCATCACTTGTTCCCTAGGTCGTCTATATCGGCCATCTTTCAGCAACTCAAACTTGCCATCCCCCACCTACCCCAGGGACTTTGCTTATGATCTCCCCTGCCCACTCATCCCTACCTCTACCTGTTGGCACAGCAAAACCCTTTCCAATCTTCAAACCTTCCTACAAACATCCCCTCCTTAAGGAAGGCCCTCTGGGACCCCAAGGCCACCCCTTCCATGGGCTCTGCACTCTCAGAGCTACCAGAACTTTCCCCTCAAGCACTTGTCATGATTGCTAATAAAACTCCTGTGTGGCTGTATCAGCTCCATGAGGCAGGGGCCATACTCCTATGGATCTATTCATAGCTGGTCCATGCTCTGAAATAAGTTAATATTTGTCAAATAAATGAGTTGGGGGGAAAAAAATCTTAGATATCCAATAATGGAACTAATGAAATAAATTATGGTACTCTACACACTAGTTACTGAATAGCCATTGAAACCACTTAATAGACGTTTATTTGCTGACATGAAAGTTTATCAGCATGTCTAATATTTAATGTAACAATAAATAAAAGGGGCAAGTTACCAAATAAATGTTGAGCAATTCCACTGTAATTAAGAAGAAAAAATAGATATATAATCATATGAAAAGCTAGAGAGAGTGCCATAGAACAAAATCTGAAAGGATATTCGTAAATGATGTTTACCAGCTCTCATCTCTCAGTAGTAGAGTTAGAGAAGACTTTAATAATATATTGTATTCATTGCAGTATATCCAAATTGTCAACGTGTGATCCATATCAAAATATTGACAGGGCCATGCACATTCTTTTCTTGTATTACGCGTTTGAAATCCCATGTCATTTAGAAGAGATGATTTTAAATTGTATATTTACATTTACCTATGTTGCCTTAATTTTATCTTCAACGAACAAGCCTTGATTTATGCAATTGATAAATTAATAAAACTTCAAACTATCTAATTATTTTAAAAAATAATTAAATAACCCACAGGGGGCAAGTTTTGCTTGAGTGAACCAAGGCCCATTTCAGCAGCCCCATAAAGAACTGTAGAAAAAGATTAATAAAATAAAATAAAATAAAATAAAATAAAAAGAACTGTAGAATCTAAGTAAGTATATACCTGACAGGGAGCACAGTGCCCGCTGTGTAGTAACTCTGACCAGCACAGGTCTCTTCAGGTTGGTAGTGATTTCATTATCTTGTAAAATCTACTTAAGTTATAGTGAGTTTCATGTTAAATATATTGAACTAGTAATAAAGAAGATAAAAATCATGGCCATCTTATCCAGTATTAAAGGCAGACTTCTCACCAGATATTCTGAAATTAAAGTAATACTTTTTTCTTCTGTTGCAGTTTAATCACATTAAACCTCTAAGTATTAAAACAATAAAAAGATAACACCCTGGGATTAATTAATTTGAATTGGAGTGATGCTGGGTAAAAAGATGAACACCAGTAATTCCTAAAAGTTGAGGAAAGCGTTCTACATAGAAGTCAAACTGGGTGAGAAAGTGTCCCTGGTAATAACCAGAAGTCTTCAGCTCCAGTTTCTATCTCATTACAGTGAGAAGTTCCTTTGCCTTGTACTAACACACTGGCTGGAATGAACTTGCTGACTCACACATCTTGAGCATGGACTTTTCCTACTGGAATAACTTAACAGGTCACCCAGAGAAGAAATTAATGACCAGGAAGGAGAAAACAGAAGCTTTACAACAGATTCCAGTTTCTGTTTGAAAACTTTCAAGCTCCACAGACCACAATTTACAAAACTTCACAGGAAAGCTAAGAACCTGAACTGCGACAACTCTTTCCAAGCTGCTTCAACTCAAAATTGCTAATTTCCCTCTTTTTATGACTCCCCTTCCAGGCTCACATAATGATGATGATGAGGAGGAGGATGAGGATGAAGATGTAAAAAAATGAAGTTCTGAGGCGATCTAGAAGCAAGCCAAAATCAACGAAACACCATAAGCTGAGATTACTTACAGTCTCTAGCTGCGACCGTGCAACCCACTCTCAGCTGATCTACCACCAGCATCCTTTAGGCTTTTGAGCTGCATGTCTCAGTAGTTTCCTGACCTCCTTCACAGGCCTCCAATGCACACGGTTTTAAAGCAAGGCCCACCGTCTCATGTGGAAACAAGAATGTAGTTAATTAGCCTACGTAGAATCCGGTTTCGTGGGGAAGAAAGAAACCGCCTCTCCCATGCACATTTTCCCAGACACCATGTTCCCGGGGCTCTCCATGCAAACGAAATCAACACCTCCTGGTCCTGCAGAGCCGAGCCAAGGCAGCTGGGAAAGGCGCATTTGCCACGGACCCGCTTCCAGTCTGAAAGACACTGATGCATGATCTGACTTACTTCATTCGAGAGACGAGCTCTACACACAGGGCCTGTGGTACATGAATCTATTATATTAATCTGTCATCCATGATGGATACTAAACAGGCCCCTCTACAACAAACACCACCTCACCTACACACTGCTCTTTCAAGCACAAAGGAAGCCATTCGATAAGAAGACCTTCCTTGGAAATCGTTGGGATAAACATGGAGGGGAGAAAAGGGCTAATAAGAAGTTATAAAGACACATGTTTTTTTTTTTGGGGGGGGGGATTCTTTCCCAGCTTCTTAACCTTTAGTACGCCACAGGAGCACAGGAAGAATGGTAGAAATTGATTTTGTGCGAGGCTATTAAAGAGAGTGCTGTTCTCATCAGAAAGTCCCTCCCCCCCCTTTCAACCATAATCAATAATTTAAAGCAAAGCCAAAAATCACATCAATCAAATGACCATGAAAACTTTTGTGTGTGTGTGTGTGTGTGTGTGTGTGTGAGTGTGTAGCATAGAAGCAAAATTAAATTAGTGTCTGCTAAGGAATTATTACTCTTAAGGGAATTATGAAGTAAAAACTTTCATTCTTTGCCACAGCTTGCCAATATACTCACTTGAAAAGCAAAGTAAAGTGTTAAACAATATGATACCAAGTATAATAATAAAGTTATCCTTTTTATTACTCAGATATTTGGTGTGCTGTCAAATTTAAAAGCAACTGGAAACTTAACCGGCGCAAAACATTCTTCAGAACTTGGCAGTGTAATTGTAAAGAGTTGCTTTCTTTCCCAGTTTAGCCAATTTCTTAAAGTTACAAAATAATCAGCAGGAAGTGATGCTTTAATTACAAATTATACTGAGCCAGTTCTTTATTTTTAATGTGCTTTGTTTTCTTCAGGCACTTTAGTTCCTTCTTACTAGTGCCGTGGTTGGCAAACTGCGGCTCGTGAGCCACATGAGGCTCTTTGACCCCTTGAGTGTGGCTCTTCCACAAAATACCATGGCCTGGGCGAGTCTATTTTGAAAAAGTGGTGTTGGAAGAAGTTTAAGTTTAAAAAATTTGGCTCTCAAAAAAAAATTTCAATTTTTGTACTGTTGACATTTGGCTCTGTTGACTAATGAGTTTGCCGACCACTGTCCTAGGGTATGAGAATTCCCATATTTCTGGCCAGTAATCACAAAACGAAAGCAGGTGAACTTTGGCGAATAAGCCGTGTATCACCATGTTCACGGCTGCTCTCGAACTCTTTTTAAAAAATATATATATTTTATTGATTTTTCACAGAGAGGAAGAGTGATAGAGAGTTAGAAACATCGATGAGAGAGAATCATTGATCAGCTGCCTCTTGCACACCCCCTACTGGGGATGTGCCCGCAACCAAGGTGCATGCCCTTGACTGGAATCGAATCCGGGACCTTTCAGTCCCCAGGCCAATCCACTGAGCCAAACCGGTCCGGCTGCTCTCGAACTCTTTCACTATGATGATTCTGTGAGCCACCAAGCATCTGAGAGATGGATTCATCCTAAGCATGTGCTGGATAACCACCTCTCTAGGATGGAACAGAAGGGAATTAGAAGGGATCTAGAGTAGATAAAAATCTAAGGTCCCTTCAAATCCCAAGATTCTATGGTCTTCTACTGCATTAAAATGAGATTTTATGTTCAAACATTAGCATTCATCAGATAAAATCAATCTCTCCAAACCTCAGCTTCCATGTCTGAAAAAATGGAATAATTATATGTAGATTACTCTGAGAACTGCATGAGATCACGGATGTTCATGCAGTTGCTGAGAAACATATGGTCACCATGACAGAGCGACTCGCACCAAGGATGACTCAAAGCCAATTCTGACACAAGAATTTCAACAACAATAACAGCCACACACAAAATCCCAAAGAGTGGCTGAGCCAGACCCAACCTAAGATGTGCTGTTCCCATTGCTCTTAGTCTGAAAGCCTGTATTTCGATGCACCCTAAACTTTAATGCAAAAGAATGAAAACTTAATTCTTTCCAACACCCATTCTTTTGTTTTCAGATGACAGGGGCTAGCAAATGATACACACACAATTAAAACTGCTGATATGAACATGAATAAATTAAGGCATTTTCTTCTGCTGTCCGAAGTCTTTTTCTGGACTTTTCCATTTTCATTTAGTGGATGAGAAACAAGTGGATTTTTCAGTGGCTTAGAGAAGAGAGAGGAGGTTGATAATATAGTGCCCCTTCCCCACCTCATTTACTCATGCACAGTACCCATGGTCAGGTGACCATTACTACTTGCTTGGGCTCTCAAAGCAGATAGCGATCACATGATGCCTCCCTCTTCCTGTACTGTTCAGGGTCTGAGGCCGAAGGAAAGTCAAGCTCTCAGGCAGGGTTCTCTCTCCCTCAGATGTTCATGGGTGCACACAAGAATGGACATGAAAAATGCCTTCCACAAGTGGGTACTTCTCTGCAGAAAGCTTCACTTCCTGGAAGCAAAACCCAAATCTCTGCATCTAAATTCTATGCTTCCAAAAATTATGGCCTTTCTTTCATCACTTAGCTTTCACAAAAACAATGTGCAGAGGAGCTTAGTGGAAATCAATAAAACACAAGAGTTTTTAATTTCCCTTGAGTAGACTAGAAAGTACTTTTTCCCCCCCAAAGCCATCCCAAATGTGTTCATTTTCAAACTAGCTGCAGATTCACTTTGTTTCATAATTTGCTTATGTATTTATTCTCTAATTACTTTAATAAATAATTCATAGTGACTCAGAGAAGTGCATGCATCATATAGACTATTATAAAAACCTCCCACTGAATCTGGCCCCTGTTTTAAGGAGCTTTAGAGTGATCACTGTGTCACAAGAGCTTCATTGAAAGGGAATGTGTTTGCTAGAGGATGGTGTCATAGACGCCACATTCATAGATTAAATATCACCCAACCAGACTTTCTAATCCAACAGCAACAAGATTACACTGTGTACTAAGCAAGAGCAAATCCTGGTTTTAAAGAGATTTTCAGCAGACTGTCCAAGTGGGAGAGAAAAGAAGAAAATGAAAGACCACATACAAAATGCTAAAATGATGTTCTCAAAGAATCAATGGAATAATCTGGAGAGCTTGAAAAAAATACTGATACCAACGCTTTAAGTAAGTACTGTTCCCATCACAGACCAGTCAAATAATAGTCCGTAGTGGAAATAGGCCAGCATAGTTTTTAAAATCTCCCAGGATATTATAATGCACAGCCAGAGTGACTGGGTTGAATCTTTTGCAGAGGACAATGACACATTTTTTTTTTTCTCCCTATGACCCATCATACACGTCTACCATAGGTTTTTGGCCCACCTGCTACACCAGTTGTCTCAAAAGTGGGAGTGGTCAACAGGGAAGCAACCCAAGTATTCATCAACAGAGGAATGGATAGGCAAAATGTTGTACCTATACATACTAAAACATGAACGAACCTTGAGGATATTAGGTTAAATGAAATAAGTCAGTCACCAAAAGACAGATACTAAATGATCCCATTTATATGAGGAATCTAGAGTAATCAAAATTATTGCAACAGAAAGTAGAATGGTGGTTGCCAGGGGCTAGGGAGAGAGGGGATTGGGAGTTATTGTTTAATAAGTATGGAGTTTTATAAGATGAAGAGTTCTCAGGATGGGTGGTAGTGATGAGCAAGAATCAATGATGAAAGAGAATCATTGATCGGCTGCCTCCTGCACGCCCCACACTGGGGATCATCGAATCTCATAACAAAACTAATGTAATTAATGTAATTGAACAGTACGTTTAAAAATGGTTAAGATGGCAAATTTTGTGTTATATGTGTCTTACTATAATTTTTTAAAAAATGAGAAAATGAGAGTAGTGCAAGATGGCCTTTTGCAGTGGTTGGCAAACTGTGGCTCGCGAGCCACATGAAGCTCTTTGGCCCCTTGAGTGTGGCTCTTCCACAAAAAACCACATGCAGGGGCGCGCACTACAGTGCGATTGAAGCTTCCTGGCCCATGCGCAGAAGTCGGTATTCGGCTCTCAAAAGAAATTTCAATCGTTGTACTGTTGATATTTGGCTCTGTTGACTAATGAGTTTGCCGACCACTGGCCTATGGGATTATGAATAAAGTTCATCTTCTATTTATACTTGTTAGCCTATCCATTTATTTCTATTTTTTGTGTGTTGTATCTATACACGTAATACATTAGTATACTGCAAATGTGCATGACTTATACATAAGTATATATATTTTGTCAGGATATATACACAAACATCAGGATGGTCAATGAAAAGAGTTGCAAAATGCCAGATTTCCTAGGAATAAGTGTGGGTCTTAGGGCCTCTTTAGAAGACAGATGTGAAACATATGCCATCATAAACAGAGTGAAGTTTAAAGAGTTGAGTAGGCCAAGGCAAGCAGGGGAAGGCGGAACTTACGGCACCCAGGCACCTGCCTAACGCAGGCATTCACTGAGCAGAGCAGCTCCATGGAGCCTGTTTCCATGCAAGTCCCATTCTGCTGGCTCTGCGATAATAAGAGACCAATGCTAACACCAAATCAAACGAACCGCCAACAAGCATCTTGAAATTGTGGGAAAACTAGATAAAATGAAAGTGAGTAAGCAAAGACTACCGGTTCCTGTTATGTGTCAGGAATATGTTTGACATACACATATACACACATATATACACATTGTGCACATATTTCCACACACAAACTTTTCATAGATATTATTAGTTCATCTCATCATAGCAGGAATTTTATGAGGAAGGAGAGATGAGCCCATTTTATACATGAATACATGGAGGCTTAGAGACCCTTAGCAACGTGCCCAGGGACACAGAGCAATGAAGCAGATCTGGAATTCAGGTACATCTCACTCTAACTACCATCCTTTTGCCGCTATCCCACAGGGATGCGTGAAGTGTAAGAACTACATTTTCTCATCATGACCCAGTAAATAGGCATGTGTTTGTTCAACTGTAAAAACCACTTCATAAAACAATACTTAAAACTGACAGTCTATGCCCAGCATGATGGGGACATTCAGCTGTTTCAGGTGTCTCACCAGAGAAAAAGCGAGAGTCAAAAGTTGATAATTTCTCATGGAAGCACTCATGCCACTTGTTACACAGAGAAGAGAAAAAAAGAGAACTCAGCAAATAGCTCGGCATTTCATTGGCCTGCCATTCCACACCTCCCAGACTTCCAGAAGGCTGTTTGCAGAACTATGCAAGCTCCGGGGGAGCTGCCTCACCGCCTTGGAATCCAGACCCCATGCGTCATGCAGGAAATGCGCGGTGGGTCCACGGGTACCCATGTGGGCAAAGCGATACCGACTAAACAGTGACTCATTCCATCCCCAGCTACATCCATCATTTAGAAACTATGTCTCATCATGCCATTCCTGACTGTACACACGGCCTCGTCTCTTCCACTTCTGCCAAGGGAAGCAAAGACTGGAAGTCAGCTCCGGGAGGTTTAATCTGGTTGTACATGATCTATGGAGGCAAGCAGAGGAAAAGAGAACCAGGGAGAACCCTGAACAGTGAGGGGAGAGTGGGGATCTAGTCTGCTGATGACACAGACTTCTGCATTCCCAACTGGACTTTGATTTTCAAATGTCCTATTTTACTTTCTGGTATTGATAAGAAGTGCCCTGGAGAATGCACTATGAAATTCTCACATCTCTACCTCAACCTGTGCTATCCTTCAGATTAAGAATAAAATGTTCAAAACCCTTTAGATTGAATTATGATGGGCCAGAGTCCATACTAAATGAGGCTGTTTATTAAAAAAAAAAAACACACACAAAAAAAAAACACAGGAAAAAGTACGTACAGAATTCTAACTATAGCTGTTTCCTCCTGCTTCTTGGTCCTGAGTTTGAATGAGGTGGTTTTGTTTGTTTGTGGCAAATGAGCAGAGAAGAGGATACAGAAATACAAACGAGCTCTAGGCCCTCTTTACAAAATAGACACTTTAAAAAAATATATATATTTTTTATTTTTTAGAGTTTATATAATTATATATATTTCTTTTTCCCCATTTTTTAATTAAGGCATTATATGTGTATCGTACCATTGCCCCTACCCCTACCCTACTCCCATACATGCCCTCACCCCCTAGTGTTTTGCATCCATTGGTTATGCTTATATGCATGCATACAAGTCCTTCGATTGATCTAATATATATTTTTATTGATTTCAGAGAGGAAGGGAGAGAGAGCGAGAGAGAAAGAGAGAGAGATGGAAA